ACTGGATAGCAACTAAAGATCACAACTGCCAATGGAGGCTGATTTCCAACTAGCCGCAAGCAAACATGATGTAACTGATGTATTAATATTGAGAGATGAATGGAAAAAAAAACAATATTGGCCTTAAATGCTAGTAGTTCTGTTAGATGGAAGGGGCACCATGAAGACTTGAATCACTTACCTCATAGAGTAACTAGTTTCCCCCTAACCTTAGTGTGAATCTCCATCTGATTATGAACAAGACTTCTACAATTTTGAGTAATTTATGTAATTTGGACAATAACTGCTGTTCCCCTGTCATGTCCCATAATCTTTAAAGGTCTCCAATTGCACTGGCAGACCTCCCTCCAAAAAAAAAAACAAGTATACTTCATAGTATATGAAAGCCAGAGTTACACCTTTAGTAAGAAATGTGAGGTTCTTCATTCTGCATTCCTCTGATAATGTTAACTGGTTTGAATAGGGAGGGAGGCATTTGCAGGAAGACTATACACATGGGAGTTTTACACTGTGTGTACCCTTAAACTGATTACTAAGCCTTCTCTTCAGGCTGTAAAAGTCTGGATTTCTTTCCCAAAAACCAACTTGACAGAAGGGCCAAAAAAAAAGAGAAAAGCCTAGAGACATTTGGGGAGGGGGATGATGGGGTGCAGGTAGTGGTATGCATCTGCCTAAAGTGTTTCCCTCCCATTCATATTATCTTGACAAACATGTCCTTGGAAGCATATGTTGGTGGGAGATAACCTTAACCCTCCACCCTTAATGTAATGGTTAATCCAACACAGCATGAGGTATCAAAACAATGGTAGGAAGCCTTCACTTTAGATTATCTTTTTGACAGTTGAATGCATCTGTCAGAAAATTACATATTCTCATACCAGAGTATATAGTTTGTGAACACATAGTTTCATTTGGTGTTTCTTTTGTATATTGAAACTTCAGCCAAGTTTCTGTGAAGCTTACCATTTTATGATGAATTTTCTATGGGACTGTTAATTTGGAAGCGCAGTGATAATTAAAAAAAATTCAAGCACAAAAGCCAGTGGAAATGCTGTGACAGTATTGGCTTTAAAGAACTTAAATTCATTGTGTCATGATGTTTTCTGAAGTATATGTCTATACATATGTATATATATGTGTATGTGTGCGTGGTATTCTTCAAAGCAGACAGTTGAGTGAATCTGAGAAATAAAACATGAATAAAGGGGGAGAGAGAAATTGTATATTCAGTACCCAAATTACATTTTGTTATATGTAAATTATTTACTTTTCAAAAACTTTCTGAGTCTTCAAGAAGATGGGAAGAAGTGGAAAGGAAAAATATTCTTACAACATTTTTCTGCAAGCATTTCACTAACCCCCCCCTCACAAAAACACAACTATCCAAGTGGGTCACAGTACAGTGCAATATAAAAGGCAACTCTAGCTTGGATGTCTACAAAAATATGCCTAACTTAAAATGGCTGAATGTTTTCTTGAATCTGTGTGCTTGGAAAATGACATTTGTAAACTGCTTTTCCTCAAAGTTTTAAATAGTTATATATGCAGAAACATTTAAACACATATTTTAATCAAAAAATACCACCACTGTCACCATCACAAAAAACTGAACCACACCATACATTCTATGTAGCAAATTTTAAAATAATACCCACTGACAATTAAATGAATAAACCTTAACCAAGGAATTGAAAGTGTATGAGGTGTCATTTAGAGAACTTCTGAGATGGCAGTTATGGAACATTATGGTCTTACTAGTGAGAAGTCCCTACCCTGAGAATCTATAGAACTGGGAAGATGCTTGGAGTTCAGCCTTGCCAGCCACCATTAGACAGATGGAAGGACAGACACTCTTGGAGGTATTTATATCCTGCTGTACCCTGAGCTTTTTGTCCTTTAGCCTCATGGATTCATGCTGCTTTCCACTTAGCTTCTCAGAAATCAATGTACCTGCTCTTCCAGTCACTTTCTCTATTATCAGAAGCAAGACTGCTTGCAAACATTCTCTTTTTGGCCAGTTAAAATGTTGTGAACATTCTATGATGTTTCTTATGTCATCTCTATCAATGACTAAAGGAAGGATTAATAAGCACTCCTGACTTGAAGGCACATACATACACACATGAGGAGAGGAGGAAGAAGATGAAGAGAAACCATCTGCCACAGAAGACAGTAAGGGTGCTTTGCCATCTTGCTGGTCTCCTTATTACCAATAACTGCTCCAGAATGATCCCTTGACCCAGAGAGTGTGCCTTTTAATAGAATCAGACCTGTAACTCAGGATTCCCCCCCCCCCAGGGACATCCTACCATCTCCTGCATCAAATTCCTGGAACTTAGCCTAAAGGGTTGGCTGGCATAGGAGAAAGCTGACTTTATAGTTTTATTGCTGAAGAGGTGAGTTCAAAGCAGGTCACCCCTTTGGAGGAACTCTTTTGGGGTAAATGAAGAGTAAGAGTGATTTTGGTTATTTGAGGGGGAGAAGAGGAAGGGAAATCCATGGTTGTTCTCTATATTTGATTGTCTGGATTTTCCCAAGCTTCTACAGCTGGGGTTATTGCCTCCTCGGGAGAGGGATGTGTTTTAAACTGTGGGGATAGGTAGGTGGAGAGAACTAGAGTGGGGGGAGGAGGAATAGATTATGCAACTGTAGAGGAGAGAGGAAAATATGGTCAGGGGAACCAGGAGGACAACAGGAAGTTGACTTATCCCAAACTATTTCTCAGTGCAGGCAGCTCAAATAATCTTGACTTGGTTCTTGTCTGAAAGTAGTACTGCTGAATGTCAGTTCAGAGACTAGGAAAAGAACCATCATGCTCTTATCCTAAGATGTTTGATGACCTGGATTTTTTTCTCCACAAAAATATGGTTGGATGAAACTGGAAGATGAGTAAATATATCCTTCCATTGCCCATCTGAATTCTCTGTGTAACGGAGAAGAAGAATTGCAGTGGTCTGTTGTGATTCTGTAGTTCTCAAATTGAGTGTCTCAAATTGAGTGTCTAGAACAGGATGGGGATTCTGTTGATGTTCTACCCTCTCTTGAGCTGGGGTATTCATGGAAATAATACTGGAATCCCTTCAGTTTATTGCGCTGGGGAATTACAACATTCATGGTGAGCTCATCCTTGCTCGGAATGGCTGAAGACTGAAGACTTCATGATCTCCAAGACATTCTGCTGGGAATATTTTTGACCTAGTTTTCTATATTGAGTAGGATGATGATTATCTAGTAGAATAATCTTGTATAGTTCTGAGCTAGCAATGGGATTTTGTTGGGACTTGACCAACTGATTCTCCTCAGGAGACAGATTGGCCTAGATTCTTTTTAAAAAATGGCTCTTGTGGATATTCTTGACCTAATTGTAAACAATTTATGTTCTGTCACTAGGTGATTCTAGTTGAGCTCTGGAATGGGGGAATGGCCTGGGGAATAGATATCCTGATTGTTCACTCCCACTGAGCCCAGTTGGTGTGTGTTTAATGATTGAGATGGCCACTAGAGTGATGATCTCTGCTTCACTAGTAAAAATTGCTACATCTCTTTTCTGCACAGCCTGAAAATATGGTTAGACTTCTTGGAGAGATGAAACTCACCATATGGGTGCTTGATCCTTGGCATTCCTTTGCAGGTGTGTTTAATCTTTGGTTCATATATGGAATGGCGGGAGGCGAGAGTCACCAATTAGGTTGGAATGGTACCTACCTTTGCAACAAGGCATGGTTATGTCATACCTGCAGAATGCAGAGATGTCCGGGTCAGGGGGAGAATATCCTTGAACATCAATATACTGGATACTTTTTGGACAGTATATGCCATGGTATCTCTATCTAGGAGTGTTTGGATGAGATGGATTATCTAAATACACTTCAGCAACTACTTTGATTATCTTTGATGACAGTTAAATTGCAAAGGTCACAATAAAAAACCTCAGAAGATAACAAATGTAAAGCAGAGTATTTAACCAGCACTGACTCATTTATATACAGATAGAAAATATAAGAATCCACACCTTAACATTCCTTCCCTTTCTTATAATAAATACAGATTATTATAATTATATATAGACTATTACTATTATTGGAGGAAAATGGCATCTAAGGAATTTTAGACTAAGAATGTTTTAAAAGACATTTTAGACCAAGACATTATCTGTGCCATTAAATATGAATCTGCTAGATATTTGAAACTTCCAAAATAATGGCAAGCATGTCCCATGAAAAATCCTAAATGTCTAAAAGGTTCTTCTCCATGAAGGTAAGAAAAACATAATACAGACACATATTATTGATTATATGTGCACCTGTTTTCTTATCTTTCAATTTCACTTTCACTTTACCAATTTCTCTGAGCTCCCATCTAATTCAAATTTAATTCCAGTCAGTTGGAGCACTTAAGATAGCTAATAAAATGAAAAACAAAGTACACTTTTCCTCAAAAATTCAAACATTTGTGAGGTTTGCAGTACATTTCATATACACAAAATAATGCATGAATGTTAAAAATGTAAATAGTTACTATATGGAAAACAAACACACACACATATACTTACTTGAGCCCATGAGGAAAATATGTTGGAAAATGTACATTAGGGATACTGTTTGAATAAATTGTTCATTACAGAGAATGAATATAGAAAATACACATGCATTCTTATAGGGGAGTAAGAGTAGTCTCACAACTTGATATTAATAAAAGGTGTGATGAAAATGGAGGTGATGAGATTCAATGCAACAAAATCAGTTTTTCCCAGCCTTGTGTGTGTTCGGGGGGGGGGGAATTCATCGCTCTCCTGAGGTAGGAAGTTCCAGGAAGTGGGTGCCCCATCCAAGATGGCAACTTTTGTAAGTTCCCATTAGCCATGTATCAGATGGATGTGAGTCATTTAATCCAATTGTGGCTAAAGACTTCAAATGTCTCTAGCCAGGTGGGATCATATTTGGAAGAAATGATCTTGTAACTATTCGGGTCCAAAGTCATGTAGATATCTATACACGAGAGCCAGTGTAGTGTAGTGTTTTTGAGTGTTGGACTGTGACTCTGGAGACCAGAGTTCAATTCCCAGCTTGGCCATGGAAACCCACTGGGTGATCTTGGGCAAGTCATACTTAGCCTTAGGTGAAGGCAATGACAAACCTCCTCTGAACAAGTATTGCCAAGAAAACTTCATGATAGGTTGCCATAAGTTGGAAATGGCTTGAAAGCACACAACACACACACACAACACATACACACACACTTGGGAACAAGCACTATCAATTGAGCCTGGAAACCAAGTAACAGTCAGTGTAATTGACATTTTAAAAAATGGATATATGAGTAATTAATCCTTTTTCCAGAAAGGATGTAGAAGGTTCACTTATCTGTCTTTCATAACTCCTCCTCAACCAATTTCACATCTTGCACTTCACCTATTAATATTATTCTGGTTTGGAAGAGTATGCAAATCTCTCTCAAATATGAAGTGCTAATTGGTTCATCTGCTGTAATCTCAGAAAGATGGTTTCAGTGAAACCTTTCAAGTTTAGGTCAAGTTTTCTTCCTTAAAATCAGGAAAAGTGTGGTATAACTACATCTTTGCATACAATTTGGTTGGAATATGTACTGTCTTGTGGATAGGAATAGGAGCCATAGTCCTAATAGTACAGTGTAAGCATATCCTATAGCAAAACATGGGTGATACCAGTGCCTATGAGAAACCTTTGTTCCACCATGATTTTGTGCTGCCAGTCTTCTAGCTGGATAATTATTGTTGTGTATTCATTCTTCTGGAAAAAGATAGTACTCCAGCAAGAATCTTTCATATGGTTGAAGCCCTGGAGATCTGGATTTCTGTCTGCTGGGAACTGCAATCTTCATTCATTTCATAGATACTGGTGAACAGCTTTCAGACAATAACAATGTTCAGTCATTACTATAACTGAACTTAGTTGAATGTGAGCTGGCAGCCTAAAGGTGAAAGACTCTGTGGACCATTACCAATTCCCAATGTCAAACAGACATTGTTTTGCCTGTCATCTTCAATTTGTGCTTTATCAGCCCTAAAGTTTGTAAAGTGGAGAAAGAAAAAACTTTTTGCTGAGAGAATATAATGTGGAGGATCTTAGAGAGGAAACATATAGCCACACATATGATCTGTGTAGGGCATATAGAGCAGGGTTCTTAAGGTTTCTGATATCTGTTTTACCAAAATCAAGTAAGCATTTTTTTTTCTTCCATTGCCAGGACTTATCTTTGTTTAAAAACCAGATTGAATTCTGTAAAACTGGAAAGTTTACTCTGCTTCCTTCCTTGCATTGGACTCTAACATAGGACTATGCTGGAGACCAATAGTTACTTTAATACTGAAGGGACTAGGCATGTGCTACAAATACCTGCCTGTTATGACTTCAAGGTAGCGGAGAATGAAAATGTTCCCATGTCAGGGAAGCTTCTCTGATCTCATCTTTCTAACAGGAAGGGCCTAAACATGTTGAAATTGATGTTGATGAATATGTTGTTAATAGTCCTTAAAACCA